AAGAGCGGGGGCGGTTCCCAGCCGCCATTTTCTCCCTCCCTCTCGCCTTCCTGCCTTGCGGGTGCCCTCCGCGCAGTCCCCCTCCCTTCCCCCGGCGGCGTCGGAATCCGTCTCGCCCAGTTCCTAACGGGGAGAGTGACGAAAGAGCTCCCCCTGCCCGGGGCGGGAGAGGAGGAGGGAGGGGTCGGGGCCCCGAAGGACGCAACATGGCGGCTCCAGCTGGACCCCGCGAGCGGGGAGGGAGGAACGTTCTCTTGCCTCCCCCCCCCCCCATGAGGACAGCGCGCGCGGGGGGGGGGAGAACTGGCACTCACGTTCTACTCGGCGCGCGCGCGGCTCTCTCTGTCTCTCTGTCTCTCTCCCTCGCCTTCCCTCTCTGTCTCTCGCGTTCCCCGTCGCTCCCCCACGCGATTGGAAAGGCGGAAGTGACGTCGCCCTCTTAGCCCCGCCCACTCGAGGGCGAGGAGGGGCGGGGAGTCCAGCTGGGTTGGTTTTTGCTGCCTCCCGGCCAGGGCCGGAAGTTTCGCCTCTGCAAATTTGCGGGCCTGGTAGAGGCTGACGCGGCTTGACTAATGCTGCCTTACCACTGAGCAAAGTATGAGTCCAGGGGCAAGCTTTAGGGTTGCCACCCCCAGGTGGGGCCTGGGGATCAGTGTTCCCTCTAAGCTGAGTTAGTGTGAGCTAGCTCACAGATTTTTAGCCTCCGGCTCACACATTTTTGTCTTAGCTCAGGAAGGGATGGCTCCAGAGGAAACTAATTTATGCAGCAGCCAAATCACTCGCTCACAGCTTTAATGTCAGTCGCTCACAAAGTAGAATTTTTGCTCACATGACTCCACAGCCTAGAGGGAACATTGCTGGGGATCTCCCCCTTTTGCAACTGATCTCCAGCTGACAGAGATCAGCTCCCCTGGAGAAAATGGCTGCTTTGGAGGGTGGACTCTATGGCACTGTACCATGCTGAGGCCCCTCCCTGAACCCCGCCTTCACCTGGATCCACCCCCAAAGTCTCCAGGTATTTTCCAACCCAGCCCTGGCAACCCTAGCAGGTTTAAGACCAACAAACGGAAGCTTACACCAGGAACAAATCTTTGGTTGGTCTTAAAGGGGCACCTGGACTCTTCTTCATCACCTCCTACCTGCACCTTTTAACTGGAGGTGTTGAGGACTGGCCTTCACCGGTGCTCTGCCATCAGCCATTGCACAAGGAAGATCATTTTAGAGGGTACCTGTGTTGGGCTGCAGAAGAACAGCTTGGTTTGCGTCCCAGTAGCATCTTAGACAATAATGCTAGGAAAAGTTGAAGGCAGCAGGAAAAGAGGAAGATGGATGGACTCAGTAAAGGAAGCCATAGCCCACAGTTTGTAAGACCTGAGCAAGGCTCAGTTGGGTAGGTAACTGTGTTTTGTCTGAAGCAATAGAACAAAGTTTGAGTCCAGTGGTGCCTTATAATCAACCAAGTTTAATTCTGGGTATAAACGTTTTTGTGCATGCACACTTCTTCAGATACATTGAGAAAGGGTGTGAATAATAGGATGCTTTGGAGGTCATTAATTGATAGGACCGCCATAAGAAGAAGGAGAAGAGATTGGATTTATACCCTGCCCTTCACTACCCAAAGGAGTCTCAGAGCAGCTTACAGACTCCTTTCCCCTCCCGTCCCCACAACAGACACCCTGTGAGGTAGGTGGGGCTGAGAGAGCTCTGACAGAAACTGCTCTTTTTCAAGAACAGCTGTGCCAGAACTATGGCTTGCCCAAAGTCATCCAGCAGGTGCAAGTGGAGGAGTGGAGAATCAAACCTGGTTGTCCCAGATTAGAGTCTGTGCACTTAACCACTACACCAAACCGGAGTCAGAAGCAACTGGACAGCACTTAACACACACACACAGCACCTTAGAGACCAACAAGATTTTTGGGTTCTAAGCTTTTGAGAGTCAAAGCCCCCTAGGTCAGATACCAAGGAAGGAGTGCTGACTTTACGTGCAGAAGACATTGGGTTCAATGCTCCCTCTAAACTGTGGAGTCTTGTGAGCAGAAATTCTACCTTGTGAGCTACTGGCATTAAAGTTGTGAGTGAGTGATTTGGCTATTGCATAAATCAGTTTGCTCTGGAGCCATCCTTCCTGAGCTAAGACAAAAAAGTGTGACCTGGAGGCTTAAAAACTGTGAGCTAGCTCACACTAACTCAGTTTAGAGGGAACACTGATTGGGTTAAAGGTCCAGTTAAACAATCTCAGGTGGGAGGTCTTGGGAAAGGCTTTCTTTTTGAAAGCCACTGCCAATCAGGAACAGGCAATAATAAAGCAAGGTAGTGGTCAACGTAGGTATAAGACAGCTTGCTATGCTCCTAAAAGAAGAAGAACAAGAGTTGGTTTTATACCCCGCTCTTTACTACCTAAAGGAGTCTTGGAGTGGCTTATAATCGCCTTCACTTCCTCTTCCCACAACAGACATTCTGTGAGGTGGGTGGGGCTGAGAGCTCTGAGAGAGCTGTGACTGGCCCAAGGTCACCCAGCTGGCTTTATGTGGAGAAGCGGGGAATCAACCCTGGTTCTCCAGATTAAATCCTGCCGCTTTTAACCACTACACCAAGTAGTTACTGCTATCATTAGGAACACTGAGCTTCAAATCCGCACTTCCTTTATAACCCTGCAGGATTTTTGGGTGCGCATTGCCTCTCAGCCTCACAGGGAAGTTACATTTATTTATTTACTTCATTTATACCCTGCCACCTCCCCAATGGGGACCCAAAGCAGCTTACTTTGTTCTCTTCCATTTTATCACAATAGCCCTGTGAGGTAGGCTATGCTGAGAGAGAGTGTGACTGGCCCAAGGTCGTCCAGCAAGCTTCCATGATAGAGTGGGGATTTGAACCTGGGTCTCCCAGATTCTGGTCCAACACTTAAGTGCTACAACACAGTGGATGGAGGATAGGAGAACCATATACACCACTGTGCACTCTATGGAAATGCAATAAAAATGTAGTAAGCATGTAATAAATAAATGAAGGACTCAGCAGATAAGAGGGCAATGTATCAGGGAGGGGAAGATTTTGTGGGTGAGATGGGATTTCTGACACATGCACAAGCACACCCCAGCTGTGAATAATTATAGGTGAGTGATTGCAAATTAAATGCAAAAAACCTTGGGGAGAGGGGTGATACTAACAGCTCTCTCCTGTATTTTCCTTTACAAGGGCCTCAACAAAACTGAATGATTAGTAATGAGGCAAATAGAATTAGTAATGAGGCAAATAGAGATCTGTTTCTCTCCCCAAACCAGTCCAGAATCCCAAATGAAATAGGTCAAGGGCATAAATTTACCCAGGTAACCCTGGAGTGCGCTGGCTCAAGTGGTTAAGACGCTGAACTGCAGGCTGGAAGGTTTGTAGTTCAGCAGTTCGAGACCCGAGTGCCGCATGACGGAGTAAGCTCCCGTCTCTTATTCCAGCTCCTGCCAACCTAGCAGTTCGAAAGCAAGAAATTGCAAGTAGATAAATGGGTACCACTTTGGTGGGAAGGTAACAGCGTTCCATGCGCCTTGGCGTTTAGTCATGCCGGCCACATGACCATGGAAACGTCTTCAGACAGCGCTGGCTCTTCGGCTTTGAAACGGAGATGAGCACTGCAACCCTAGAGTCGGATTCGGCTGGCTTTCGAGCAAGGGAAAGCTTTACCTTTACCCTAACCCTGGAGTTGCTGTGCCATCAGTTGTTCAATAATCTTACCTGAAAAAGGCATACTAGCCAAATCCACTCTTGTCAGAATAAGTTTCTTCAGCAATGTCTTCACCAGCGCTTCTGAAAACTCACTTGCCATTAAAAAATGACTTAATAATTTTGGCAAGTAGTACCCTTAGCTTTTCCTGGCCTGGTTTGACCATCCAGGAGAAGCATGGGTCTAGCATGCAGATGGCCTTCCCCCAAGAATCTTGTAAGCAACTATCAGGAAGATCAATCTGAAATTACCTGTACAGTTGACAAACAGATGTTTATGCTGAGGATTAAACCTCATCCAAACTGCATCTAAACGCACATGCAGGTCAGACCAGACAGACTTTCTCCTTAAATAATCTAGCAAACAATGGCACAGTGTTGGGTCAAATCATCCTCTTCCAGCGTGGGGGGCTTAGGTGTTTATAGACTATGGAACAAATTCGTTGATCAAAATTCTGCAGAGGTAATGGTGGCGGGGGGGAAATAACATCTTTGATTCTGTTGCCACCAGACCATAGGCATTCAGGTAGGGTCTGAGGTGCTTTCTGTTTGTTTCAGGTACTTTTGATCCAAACCAAACTCAAGACTCTCCATCCTTTTCACCTCCTCTAATTTTTCAATAAATCACATCAATGGGGTCCTGTTAAACTAGGGGAGAGGACACCGAGAAACAATCATGTCTTTAACCCTTGTTGGTTCTTGATTCCAGGATGATACTACAGTGTCAACCGAGTTGCCTTTAAGATTGCTGTAATCATCACAGGCTATTTGATTCCTATGCAACCCGACCTTATACTTTTAGATTACTGGAGCGATTCTCATATACCTAAAATTAGAGAAGACCTTATTTCAACCTTATTGATGGCAGCTAAGGTGGCTATTGCCAGTAGTTGGAAATCCCCCAACAAGTTACTATTATCTTCTTGGCGATTGAAAATTTGGGATTACTATATTATGGATAAGATTTCTGATGTACTTGTCAATACTAATCATTACCATATGAACTCTAATCTTCATCTGAAATGGCTTCCCTTTCTTGAGTTTATGTTTAATGTTGAGTCTTCTAAATTCATTGTTCCAGAAAAGTATTATGAACTATTTCACGGAATGTAAAACTTTTAGCATTTGTAGAAGCGTCAACATAACTGTATCTAGTTCCAACATAGTTCAATGTTTTGAATGCTTTGATGTTGTTGTTTAAAATAAAAACAGTTATTTTATTTTTAAAAAGATTGCTGTAATCTGTCAAAGGATTCTGGAAACCAGTTGGATCAAGCAGACCATCCTTACTGAAGAAGAAGCAGAAGAGGTTGGTTACAACGAGGGCCAGGGTCTTCTCTGTGGCGGCCCCTCACTGGTGGAACGAGCTTCCAGAAGACAGCAGGGCCCTGCGAGACCTTTTACAGTTCCGCAGGGCCTGTAAAACGGAGCTCTTCCGCTAGGCTTTTAAGTTGGGTGCCACCTCAGTCGTATGGCCCTGGCCCTAGCCTGATTACTGTGTCAACAACTGGCCCTGGCCTGATTACCAACTGTACCAACGGTGCCACCAACCAAGGCTTTATAGCTGGGCATGAGCCAGTGGACAGTATTCAGTTGATAGTCGATATCGGAAGATTCGCCATCTTTTAATATAAGTTGTATGATTTTATATTGATTGATGGTTTTAATGGAATTTTAATGTATTTTTACAAATGTTGTTAGCCGCCCTGAGCCTGCCGA